GTGTACACACCCTGTTGGAGGAAAATACATCTTCAAGATGACATTGCGCACAGTTTGAAAAGACGGGGACATTGCCTGTTTTGTACATAAACCAAATTGTGTACAAACCCTCTATTACGTCAAGACATCTTAAAGAGGACATTGCGTACAGTATGCAGAGACGGGAAATTGCCTGCTTCGTACCCAAACCTAAATAGAAATTGTGTTCACACTCTATTCGAGAAAAAATACATCTTCATGACATTGTGCACAGTTTGTAGAGACAGGAGCATGCTTTGCCTGCTACATAAACAAAATTGTGTTCACACCCTATATTTGAGGAAAATATATCATCAAGAGGACATTGCGTACAGTTTGTGGAAACGGGGACATTGCCTGCTTCGTACCTAAACATTAGTAGAAATTGTGTTCACACCCTTAACGAGGAAAATACATTTTCAAGAGGGCATTGCGCACAGTTTGAAAAGACGGGGACATGCATGCTATGTACATAAACCAAATTTTGTACACACCCTATTTGAGGAAAAAAAATCTTAAAGAGGACATTGCGCACAGTTTGTGTAGACGAGGGCATTGCCTGCTTTGTACATAAATCTTCATACAAATTTTGTACACACCCTATTTGAGGAAAATACACTCCAAGAGGACATTGCGCACAGTTTTTGTAGACGGGGGCATTGCCATGCTTTGTACATAATCCTTCATACACATTGTGTACACACCCTATTTGAGGTAAAATACATCTTTGAGAGGACAATGCACACAGTTTGTAGAGACGGGGGCATTGCCTGCTTCGTACATAAACCAAATCGTATTCACACTCTATTTTAGGAAAATACATCTTCAAGAGGACATTGCGCACAGTTTGTGTAGACCGAAAAATGAAGTTGGCTAGGCTGGAGTCTAGTGGAGTGATCAAGAAAGTGACACATAGTAAATGGGCAGCCCCCATAGTTGTTGTACCCAAGGCCGACGGGAGTATCAGAATGTGTGGGGACTATAAACAAACAGTAAACAAAGTAGTAGAGACAAACACGTATCCGCTACCCACTGCAGAAGATCTGTTTGCAACTCTTGCAGGTGGGAAGGTGTTTAGCAAAATCGACCTATCGAATGCATACCTGCAACTAGAACTCGCTGAAAGCAGCAGAGGGTTGTTAACCATTAATACACACAAGGGATTGTATCAGTATCAGAGATTACCGTTGGGTGTGTCAACTGCTCCAGCGATATTCCAATGTGTCGTGGATCAGATCTTGGGTGGAATAAAAGGGGTAATTTGTTTTCTAGATGACATAATAAGGAGCTTTCGATTCGGGACGGGAGAACGTACAGGACGGTAAGCCAGGCGAAAACATCGATCTGCGCATGCGCGAAACAGTACACGTCTCCGTCATGTTGATTTGGCAACGGTCTTCGGGTGAAATAGCGTCCGGCCTGCAAGGACGACGGAGCGGTATATTTGAACAGTTCTACTTGCAGTTGTCACGTCAATGCGTACTTAATGGTCACACTGTAACAGGCAAAACTGTTACTTACAATTAGTTCGTTGCTTTCAGGGGTAGTGAAGATACTACAGAGGCAAGTTCATGAAGTTAAACGAACTATAATCCAAGGTTTTAATGATTCACTGTGTTTACAACTGTCAGCCATCTTGGCAATCCTGAATCTCCCTAATTAACATATATCCCAGCATTCAAAGTACTAGTATGGAGCGCCTGAAGGGACATATAATGTAAATGTAATACATGTACCGTTACACTCTCCCCTCCGAGACTATGTCTGGGGTGAAAAAAAAATAAAAATTAGGTGTTTTGAGAAAAAAATGAAATGGGCATCAAAAATTACTGTCCTATTCTCAAGTAGTCTGCAGACTTCTATGTTTTTTTGAAGGCGGGCAAAAATTGACAAGTGTTTTCTCACAGTATGAATATCAATTGCAAACATGCTGGGTTAAGAAAATAAAATCCAGTACTTAATATGCACAACTTGTGTCCTATGAAAAAAGGAAAATGCTGTACTTTCTAGCATGAAAAATCTGTTGTTTGCTCTACACTAAAAATTGAGGCAACTTACAAAAAGAATTTTTTTTCTCCACAAAATGCTTTCTTGCACAAAAATAACAAAATGTGTTCTTGCACATACAATAAAGGAAAAACAAAACATTACAACTTTTGGTACTTCTTTAGACAACAAAGCTAGACTTGTATAAGTTTATAGGCCGACAACAAACAACATTCCAGCACAGCTCGAAAAATGTGGTTATATCAGTCCATAACACTAAACAGTCCAGAAGGAGAGTTACTGTGGGACCGGTTTGACCTGGTCAATGTGCACAATAAGTTCCTTGTTCGGCCGGTTGATGTTGGCCAGTTTGAGGTTAACGGGTGTGAGTCGTTCCTTCACGACGAAAGGTCCTTTCCAGCGGGGTGCCAGTTTCGCACTGAAGTTCTTGCTCGCGACCGACTGCGGGTGCGTACGAACCATGACCTTGTCACCTTCGGTCAGTACAAGGTTGGTGCGTGATTTGTCATAGTAGCGTTTACGCTTGGCACATGCCTGTTCGCGGTGCTGGTTGGCCTGGTCGTGGATTTGGTGTACGTCGGGTTGTTGTGCGGGCAAAGTATCAGTTGCCAGTTTGTTAGCGAGTGGTGTTCGAATACTGTGACCGAACATGAGGACGGCTGGTTCAACTCCTGTAGTTTCGTGAGTCGCAGTGTTCAGAGCGAACGCGAATTGGGCGACGTGAGTGTCCCATGTGCGGTGGTCGGAACTTGTGTAGGCCTGAAGCATTTGCTTTATGAATCGATTTCCTCGTGTAGGGCTTGACGACGATCTGGCGAGAGACGATATGGTGGTGAGCGCTGGGGTGGAGCGTCACCGATATCGATGTAGTGCTGTGCAATGTCTGTCCGTCCTGGTTGGTCAGACATGACATTCGGAAAGTCATTCAGCAGGCAGTCGATGCGGTGGAGATCATTACCTGTGAGGATCGGTTGGTCCAATTGCGAAGAAGTCCGCGGAGGCAGATCTACATCGGGCGGCACGGCCGGATCCACACGACAAGGGGGAGGGGCGGGGGTACCAAGCATAGGGAACTTGATGAGGTGGTCTTCCGCAGAACCGACTGTCCAGTAGCAGTTATTCGCGAAGTCAAGCGTGAGATGGGCCTTGTGTACATAGTCCATCCCAAGCAAGACAGGGGTAGGCAAGCGGTGAACCCTGTGCAGGCGAAGCACTGCGTCCGTACTGCCTACACGAACTTGTGTCTCAACAGTTCCGAGCGTGGCCAGCTCAGAACCGTCGACCATGATCAATGTCTCCATATCTGGCAGGCGAGGTGACAGACCAAGTTCATCACAGAATTCATCCGTAATCAATGAGCGGCTGGAACCAGTGTCTACGAGCGCGACGACACTGTGGGTGTCAGCGATGGCTGCTTCGACCAATGGACCGTTTCCACAGGTCGTGTCTGACTGCAGAAAGTTCACCTTATTTGGAGGCTGAGGCTTGTCGTAGGCCTTGGGCGGCTGTGGAGCTGACCGTGCGGGTGGCTGTGAACTGGTGCCAGGGTTTGGGGGCGGGAGAGGGCAGTCCTGCACTCTATGTCCGATTTGTTTGCATCGGTAGCAAACACTTGTGTACTGTCCGGGTCGACTCTGACGGGGGGGGTACTGACTTGTTAGGTGTGGTTGTGGATGGGGGTTTGTTCACTGAGAAGGGTGGCTTACCGGCGGAGACTGGAGTTTTTTCTGGAGCCGGTGGTGTTGATGGATTGTTTCTGGAGTTGTTTTGGAGGGCATTGGTTGACCGCTGGTGGAGCAAGTACTCGTCCGCAGCACGAGCGAGTTCGAACACTGTCTGGAGTTTTCGTTCGTGCAGCTTCAGACGGAGACTGTCGTTGCGCACCATGGACAAAAACTGATCCATCATGATGAGATGGAAACAGCGTTTTACCTCGCTTTATGTTGCGGTTAACACGTTCGACCCAATTCGACTGGGGGTGATACGGCGAGATGAACAACTGTTCAACCCCCCAATCACTGCAAACTGCAGCAAGGGCTCGACTGGTGAACTGGGGCCCGTTGTCCGAGAGGAGCGAGCGTGGGGCTCCGAAACGGCAGAATAACTGGCGAACTATTGTGCAGGCGACGGTTTTTCCAGTTGCACTGCGCAACGGAAAAATTTCTGTCCATTTCGAGTAGTGGTCTGTCGCGACTAGGAGGTATTCATGGCCACCATAGGATTTGGGAAGGGGACCCATGAGATCTACAGCAACGATTTGCCATGGTGCATCTGACTGTGTAGAAAGCATGAACCCGGCTGGTTTACGGTACAGCGGCTTTGTCTGTTGGCATGTAGAGCAAACACGTATGAAACTGCGAACCGACCCTGCTATTCCTTGCCACCAAAGGTGTTCGCGGAATATACGGCACAAAGTTTTTGTTCGTCCCAGGTGACCGGCGGTGGGCTTAGCGTGACACTCTTGCATGACGTCTCTCTGGAGGGCTTTGGGGACAACAATTGCCCGTGACGACTTTACAAAGCGCATCAGTAGGCCATCGTGAATGCGGTATTTTTCGGCTTGGCCCTGAACACGTTTAGCGATATGTTTATCGTCCGGCAACTTATCCTCAGTCAGGAAGTCGGACATGTGCGCGAGATCTGGGTCAGCGGCCTGTGCTGCACGTAGACAGTCACGTGTAAGGACAGCAGTCACAGCGCAATAGCTGCTGTCAGTCGAGGTAGTGGTGTTCCATTCGAGTTCTTTTCGGTGCTCCCACCGAAGTTGGCGACATGGAGGACACGAATATCGGGCTACATTGGCAGCGCGTTTGGGGCGGATGTGTACACATTTGGTGTGAAACCAACCATCGCAGTCATCACATTGCACCCAGTTAATTAGTGCACCTTTGGGATCGAGACACACGGCCGCGGCACAGAGGGTTGTGGCGTTGTCCCCTTCGCGTGTACTAGAAAAGGACACAGTATCTGGGGGGCTACCGACTGACGTAAGCGTTGGCGGATGGGGTGTCGGGGGCGGTGTCGGAGGTGGTGGGGGGTTCGCTTGTACCACTCCAACGACATGAGGGGACTCTGGAGAGGGCATCAGGTACCACATTGAGCGGTCCGGGGCGATACACGACGTCAAATGTGAAGTCCTGTAGGCGTAAGACCCAGCGTGCGAGGCGTCCTTTCTGATGGGATCTGCGGAACAGCCAGCATAAGGCCTGATGGTCAGTTACTACGCGACAGTGGCGACCTTCCAGATAGGGGCGCCATTTCTCAAGTGCCCAAACAACAGCCAGGCACTCTTTCTCTGTTGCACTATAGTTTCTTTCAGCACTGGAGAGAGCTCGGCTAGCGAAAGCGATTGTGCGTGGACCATTTTCCTGGCTCTGGAGGAGAATGGCACCAAGTCCGACGTTGCTCGCGTCCGTATGGATGGAGAAGGGCAAGTCAGGATCGGAGAAACCCAGAATTGGCTGTGTTGTGAGTGCGTGTCGTAGGGAATCAAAGGCGTTCTGACATGCGGGAGACCATGTCCAGGGAACGTCCTTTCGACGAAGTTGATACAAGGGGTCAGCTGTGTCGGACAGGTGGGGGATAAACTTCTGATACCACCCAACCATTCCCAAGAAACGTTCGAGTTGTTTCCGTGTCTGGGGAACGGGATAGTCGCGAATTGCAGCTACCTTGTCTGGATTTGGACGTAGGCCGTCCTCGCTCACAACGTGTCCGAGGTAAGACATTTCGGAGCATGCGAAGTTGCATTTCTCGAAGTTTACAGTCAGACCAGCGGAACGTAGTTTGGCCAGTACTTCACGAAGATCAGCGAGATGTTGATCGACGTCGTGTGAGTAGCAAACGATATCATCGAGATATACGTAGCACGTGCGACCGATGAGGTCTCCCAGCACCTCCGACATAAGGCGCTGGAAGCTGGCTGGACCGTTTACCACTCCAAAGGGAAGTACGGTGAAGTGAAACAGCCCCTCTTCACAGATGAAGGCTGTTTTCTCAGCATCCTCGGGAGCCATGCCCATTTGCCAGTAGCCGCTACGGAGATCCAGGGAGCTAAATATCTTAGCACCATGGAGAGAGTCAAGTATGGTGTCGATAGTGGGCATCGGGTACGCGTCAAGTTTCGTCACGCGATTCAGTTTCCGATAGTCCACACAGAACCTGAACTGGCCGTTTTTCTTGGGGACCATCAGCACGGGCGAGGCCCATGGCGATTTCGAAGGCGTGATCTTTCCAGACTGCAGAAGTGAATCGATTTCCTCGTGTAGGGCTTGACGACGATCTGGCGAGAGACGATATGGTGGTGAGCGCTGGGGTGGAGCGTCACCGATATCGATGTAGTGCTGTGCAATGTCTGTCCGTCCTGGTTGGTCAGACATGACATTCGGAAAGTCATTCAGCAGGCAGTCGATGCGGTGGAGATCATTACCTGTGAGGATCGGTTGGTCCAATTGCGAAGAAGTCCGCGGAGGCAGATCTACATCGGGCGGCACGGCCGGATCCACACGACAAGGGGGAGGGGCGGGGGTACCAAGCATAGGGAACTTGATGAGGTGGTCTTCCGCAGAACCGACTGTCCAGTAGCAGTTATTCGCGAAGTCAAGCGTGAGATGGGCCTTGTGTACATAGTCCATCCCAAGCAAGACAGGGGTAGGCAAGCGGTGAACCCTGTGCAGGCGAAGCACTGCGTCCGTACTGCCTACACGAACTTGTGTCTCAACAGTTCCGAGCGTGGCCAGCTCAGAACCGTCGACCATGATCAATGTCTCCATATCTGGCAGGCGAGGTGACAGACCAAGTTCATCACAGAATTCATCCGTAATCAATGAGCGGCTGGAACCAGTGTCTACGAGCGCGACGACACTGTGGGTGTCAGCGATGGCTGCTTCGACCAATGGACCGTTTCCACAGGTCGTGTCTGACTGCAGAAAGTTCACCTTATTTGGAGGCTGAGGCTTGTCGTAGGCCTTGGGCGGCTGTGGAGCTGACCGTGCGGGTGGCTGTGAACTGGTGCCAGGGTTTGGGGCGGGAGAGGGCAGTCCTGCACTCTATGTCCGATTTGTTTGCATCGGTAGCAAACACTTGTGTACTGTCCGGGTCGACTCTGACGGGGGGGTACTGACTTGTTAGGTGTGGTTGTGGATGGGGGTTTGTTCACTGAGAAGGGTGGCTTACCGGCGGAGACTGGAGTTTTTTCTGGAGCCGGTGGTGTTGATGGATTGTTTCTGGAGTTGTTTTGGAGGGCATTGGTTGACCGCTGGTGGAGCAAGTACTCGTCCGCAGCACGAGCGAGTTCGAACACTGTCTGGAGTTTTCGTTCGTGCAGCTTCAGACGGAGACTGTCGTTGCGCACCATGGACAAAAACTGATCCATCATGATGAGATGGAAACAGCGTTTTACCTCGGCAACCTCCGCTGTAGCTTTATCTGTCTGAAGCCACTTCAGGAAATTGTGGTTGAGTCTGTTGGCGTAGTCCTCAAAAGTCTCATCACCTTTCTTGAAGTCTGACTTGAATTCCATTTTGTAGGCTTCAGGAGTGCGAAAATATCGACGTTCAATCGCGGCCACTATCTTGTCAAAATCTTGTTTGTCCTCCTCACTAAGACTGTAGAAAACCTTCTGGGCTTTCCCAGTTAGGTAAGGTTCAAGTAGGCGAGGCCACTCTGTCTTTGGTTTCTTGGTCGCAGTTGCGAGGCGCTTGAAAGTCGCCAAGTAGCACGTGATGTCATCATCACTGCTTAGTTTGTGGAAGTCGGGAAGTTTAGGGCCCAGCTGTACCACAGGAGGTTTTTTGGCTGACTCCGTGACAGCATCTACCAATGATTTGCACAGTTTTTCTGTCTGCGATTGACGGCTGTGTTCCATCTCTTGGATGAATTTCATGAGTTCAGAAGTTCCCAGTCCAGAGGATTGTGTTGTATCCTCGCTCATGTGTGGTAGGTCGCAGAGACTTGCGACTCTTTCTTGTTTGGTCTTGACCTCGTTCGTATCTATGTGATTCAGTTCACAAAGTTTGACTATATATTCGGCCGTAAAACGGCGTAGGTACGCTGCCCTATCCATGATACAACAGAGTTATTGTTTATGTCAAAATCAGTTTATGTTGATAAGTATTTCGATGAATATTTATCTCAGCGAAAGAAAATCCTAATGCACAGACTGTACAAGGAAAATTCGACCGCACACGTTGGAAAAAGTTCGTGACTAAATCCACTTATATCTTAGTTCCCTGAAACAATCCTGTCTACGACGCCAGTGTAACAGGCAAAACTGTTACTTACAATTAGTTCGTTGCTTTCAGGGGTAGTGAAGATACTACAGAGGCAAGTTCATGAAGTTAAACGAACTATAATCCAAGGTTTTAATGATTCACTGTGTTTACAACTGTCAGCCATCTTGGCAATCCTGAATCTCCCTAATTAACATATATCCCAGCATTCAAAGTACTAGTATGGAGCGCCTGAAGGGACATATAATGTAAATGTAATACATGTACCGTTACAACACGTGTACAATGCACATGACATACGTTGAGTGAAATACGACATGGAATCCAACACAAATGCCTGCTCGGTGAGTGATTTGACTGTTGTTTAATTAAGTGCTAAACCCATGTTTGGACTCAATTACTTATCGCCCCTGTTGTTTAAGTGCTAAACCCATGTTTGGACTCAATTACTTATCGCCTTTTTTGTCATGTTTGTGAACATTCGGAAATGGTCAGCCAGCTGATTCAAAATGGCGTCCGCTCGGTTATCGCGACCGAAGCATTCGCCGACAAACGGGAACATTCACTTTTTATCCGAGTCGTAAATAAACCTTAGTACATCTATCTTAATCTTTGATCTATTCTTGTTGCCTCAGGTGACGTATGTAGTACTTAGTTGCGGCCGTTTACAGGGTAGAAATTGATGTTTTTGTGTCGGGTATTTTGTCATGTCTGGCATAGCGCATGTGCCAGCATGGCCAGTGCAACAGCAGTGTCATGAGTGTCGGGTATTTCATGTTGTCAATTGTAGCCCCATTAGCCCAATAAATGTGGCCAATTTACTGGACTACCTCCGTAAATGAAGGCCACACTTGGACCATGTACCCGGACATGTTGTGGAACTTTATCAAATTTTCTTTTTCACATTTAGACTTTCACTCCCTTCAGACTTTAGGGATTTGTAGTTTTAATATTTACGCTTAGGGCCTACATCATGGCCAAGAAGCACACTTCGTGTTAAAATTTAGATATGCTAACATGTGCAAACAAACCTGAAAACTACAAGAAATATAGACCTCTGAAAAAGGAGGGGGGACATTTTCTTTCGCTTTAAAGAGGGGGAGTGTGCTTCTGAAGCGTGATTAAACTACACGTGTACAAATAAAGTCTAAATGTGAAAATGACAACTAGACAAAGTTCTACATTTTTGTGTGGCCTTTATTTACTGAGGTAGTCCAGTAAAATGGCCACATTTATGGGGCTGGGTCAATTGCTATGCTGTGTCTGTATGTCATGATTGTCATCATGCAGGATAATTGGATCAAATCTGCATAGTAGTAATACAGAAAATACTTATTTGTCACGACACAGCGGCATAGAATTCAGAAAAAAAAAGAACATCAGAAAAACAATTCAGTGAACTTGTGTGTCGGGTAACAATAAGCGACTATCCAGCATTGGCAGTTTAATACTCAAACTGTCTGTGTGCAATGTTTTTTGTGTGTAAATCATACCAGTAATTGAATTGGTCATTTACCATTATTCTTGTCATGAATTGATGAAATCAACATGCCAAGATATTTTATTTTGCATGCCTTTTCTAAGTTTAGATTTCTTTATCGTTCTTACATGTACATGACACAAAATACTACTGAAAAGTTTATATTTTTCTGAAGTAAGAATTAATGGGGAAAATGTTACACTAACTACATGAGGTAAATTGAACACCACTTTCCAGTACTTTTGAAAATCAATATTTTGATCATATCTCCATAATACTTTTGGTGTTATAATTTGGTTTCTCATAATATTCAATATTACTATTGTTGCTGTTGCTGCTACTACTACTAGCCTTTTTCTTCTTCTGCTTCTTCTTATTATTATAAAACATTATTATTTATCTTGTCTTTTAGCATGATCTGGGATAATCAAAAGGAGCAAATCCTAATAAGTGAGGTCATCTTAGCCAGACCGTTCCAGTATAGGCAGGGCACACGTGAACGGGGGAGAGCATGGCAGGAGGTTGCTGACGCCATGAGGGCAAGCAACTTTAAGGTTGACAAACGCGCTGTCCAGGACAGAATGACAAGTTTGATGGAGAGAGTGAAGGCGAAGAATAAGAGGGAGACGGCAGCAAGTGGAATAGCGGTGGAGGAGACGGACGAGGAGAGGAAGATAAGAGAGTGCGTGGAAGATATGTTACAGGAGGAGGAGGACATCGAAAGTGCCCATCAGAAGGAGAAAGGGGGCGAGGAGAAGAAGAAGGCAGATGGTGCTGAAATGCGAAAACGGGCTTGTGAAACGTATAGAGAAACTCAAAAGAGGTAAATTAGAGACATCAAATAAGCAAAATTAATCTAAGCTTACCTAGAAAGTAAAAATAACAAATTTTTCCCATTGGCTACTTGTTATGGACTATTAATGTGTAAAGTATGTAACTCGTGTACCCTTTTCTACTCGAGTCTGTAACTGTTTAATCAAATAATTTGGTGTATGTGTACATGAGTAATGATGATGGTGATACTGATTCGAATTTTGTGTCCTGGCTAATAAAAATACATCATTCAGTATTTTCATATTATAGCTACATTTTTTTTGTCACACATTCCATTTGTATTCGTGAATTAATGTTTGTGTCTTGTTTTGTGCACTCTTGCTTTTGCAGGCAGAGTGGTGACAGCAGTATCACACCAAAAAAGGAGGAACAGTGGGAGTGAGACCATAAGCCTGATCCAAAGGAAAATGGAGATGGACCAGACAATGCGCCGTGAGGAGATGTTGAGGAGGGCAGAGGAAGAGGAAAGAAGAAGAGGAGAGGAAAGAGAGAAGGAACGCAGATTTGAGTTTCTGCAACAGCAGCAGCAGTTCCAGCAACAAATGCAACAGCAACAACAGCAGTTTCAGCAGCAGCAGCAACAAATGCAACACCAACTACTGCAACAAAACCAGCAAAGTCAGACCATAATGATGGGACTTTTGAAGGCTCTTGAAAAGAGGGATTAAATGTGTGCATGATTGGTACTGTTTATTGCATGCCCTTTCAGTTGAACTCTTCTTACAGTTGAACATTTTTGTACATTTACATACATGTGCTTGCATGAAACAGTTTTTCTCAGGAAAAAGGTTTGCTACATTAGTTCAACTCTACAGAAATATTGTACTAAATAATTAAGTTCTTTATTTTTTTGTGTACAAACAGCATATCTTGCCCATAGGACATAAGAGGTTTAATATGTTGATATCATGACCATGCCGTCAACTTTCTTTTGATTTGTATAAACATGTATGTAGCTGATGAAAATGTTACTTTGGAATACGAGTTATAAAGGAAGTCGCCCTTTGTTGCAAAACTTCATCTGCAGGTGACATTTGACATCGGGAGAATACTTTTATCATCATGCCTCCCAATTTAGAAATTGAAAAGAAAAATGCAACTCAGCATATTTATTTCATTTTCTTTGTTTTGTTAAGGTGATCCTCATGCCTTGAGAGGAAAACGTTAATTTTACATATAAATAACATTCTTTCAATTAATTATATGGCGAGATGCCCCATGATGTTGATTTTTTTCTTCTTTATACGAATGTTCATAAATTACTGTATATTGCTTATTGTACTCATAAAGCAGGAGTAGCAATTGGGAATGGGAAGGTCCAGAGCTGCCAACCCTCCCTGATTTTGTGCACGACTTCCCTAGAATTGGTCCATCTCTCGACTCCTGTCAAGCCAATATCCCATCATCTAAATATCTCACAGATTATCAACTGATAATCAAAAAGATTTTTCAGATGTGTTTGGAGTTAAAAGATGGACCAATTATAGGGAAGTCGTGCACAAAATTAGGGAGGGTTGGCAGTCCTGCATGTTCTTTCTTAACTTATTTATCTTTGGTTATTACAAAGAAAGTATTCTCATGTTCTAGTTGTTGTTTTCGTTGGTGTTAATGATTTTTGATAACCATTTATATCGTCACCGTTTTCACGAAGAGCCACATATGTCAAAAATTACCATTTTTTCGATTCTGATTTTTTTCAATATTTTGCTTTAAAGCAATGTACTTAATCATTTTGACATGTTTTTGTAAGCAAAACATCATTAATTTCCAAGTTACATTAATGTTACAAGGGGCCAAAATCTCGATAAATGAATTTTGCGTTTTCACGAAGAGCCACATACATTTTGGCCCTTTGAACGCGTACAAAACCCATTGCACGGAAATACGTAAAAGTAGGTCAAATGAGATTTTGAGTTTTCACGAAGAGCCACATATCTTTGTTACATTTTCAGCTGCGCGCGCGCCTATGGAAATACACATTGAACAGAATGGGCCAATATGTCGGAAACCTGAATTTGCGTTTTCACGAAGAGCCACATATCTTTACTTATTAATTTTCACTAATTAACTGCTGAATTAAGTCTTATTACTGGGTTCATGTAAAAAACCAGCTCACACAGAATAGTGTGATGGTTTCCTTGCTTCACAAAGTTGTTGCAAAGTGGTATTTTTTGCAGTTTTAAAATATGAGAAACTTCTTTTGCGATTATCTCGAAAACACTTTTTCTTCAAAATCGACATATGTGGCTCTTCGTGAAAACGGTGACGAATTATCCTAGAGACGAAATTTGCAGCGCCTCTCGCACGGCAGCCAAGCGGGCTCACCTTTGGTGTGTCCAGTGTCTTCAGCAGCTGGTCTAGAGCGGGCTCACCTTTGGTGTGTCCAGTGTCTTGAGCAGCTGGTCTAGGTCTGCAATTCCCAATTGCTTCGCCAAGATCTCGGGTGTCGCGGGTCGCATCGCTAGTGGGAATGGGTGCAATTCAAGAACATCACCTGCTAGGCCTACTGCATGATTATGCTCGACTGGTTTCTCTGCCTTTTTTTCCTCTTTCTGGGGTGTCTTAGCTGTTGTTGATGCTGACGGTTCCGCAATCTTTTCTGACCCTGCTCTCCCTGATCTGTCTCCTCGGCCTCGTTGGTGTTCCCTCCGCATCTCTTTCTTCTCTTCTTCTTGAGTAGGCCTACGGGCTGCCCTGACCTTGTGTTGCTCCGGGCCGGATCTTGACCTCTCCTTTCTCTCAGATGCCGGACTTCTACTCCTGTCGTGGTGGAATCTCCTCACGTGACGGAGTAGTTCCTAATGGTACTTGAACCATCTTCTACAATGCCTACATGTACTTCCTGTACGGGCAACGATGCGAGAATTATGATACATGTCGAAAGGTTAATACACGTCTGCACAGTACTGATGCTGGAGCAAAAGTGATGTGTTGAATGTCCCGCCAGCGGCCGGCCGGCCGAAAAGAGACGCTATCTATGCAAATTTGCTCTTGACGTCACACGCAGCTGCTCGCTGTACGTACCGTCCACTCACTGCGGGGATAATATTATTAAAACAACTCACAACTTGAATTCTACAACGTCAATCAACTTTTTTTTTCTTGTAGATTAAATATAATTGTTACAATTAGCTGAAAGCACTTATTAGTCTTTACATCGCACTGGAAGTTTTCTAGCTCGTTGACTTCTCCTCAAGTCGCCATCAGATTTGTCAAGTCGCCATCAGATTTGTCACTCATCTCAGAAGCTCGCTGTCCGGCTTCAGCGCTCCCCTGTTCCCTGTTCATCTCGATGGGCATCGCTGGTTCCGTCGCATTTACAGAACTTGACTGTTCTTTCTCCAGTTGCTTGTCTGCTTCATGGCCCGGCTCATCTTCCTGAATTCCTTTGCCGCTACTTGCATGCAGCCAATCTGCTGGTGGGTTTGCTCCACAGTAGGTTTCAGCCTGTTGCTATACACTATTTTTGGCTTGGATTTATTGGTCATCTGGATTCTGTAGGTCACGTCACTCAATCGTGTTGTGATGAGGTATTGGCCTTCCCATGGTTGTTGTAACTTTTGACTCACTCCTTTCTTCTTCCTGGGACTGTACAGCCATACTGCATCTCCTTGATGGAATCCTCCTCGTTCGGCTTTTTGGTCATAAATCTTTTTCTGTCGGTCGCTTGCTATCTTAAGATGGTCACGGGCAAATCGGTGTATTTGCTCTAGCCTTTCCTTTAGTTCGAAGGTGAAATCTTGAGCGTTTCACAACTTTCATCCCCATCAAGCGTTTCTGTCAACAAATCGGCGGGTAGTCTGACGTCTCTGCCTAACATCATTTCGCTTGGTGTACAACCCGTAGTTTCATGTACCGCTGTTCGGTACGCCATCATTACGTACGGCAAATGACGGTCCCAATCTTGCTGGTTGTCAGTTACATAAATCGATAACATCGCCTCAAGAGTTATGTTGAATCTTTCAATCGTGCCATCCGATTGTGGGTAAAGGGCGGTTTTTCTGCTTTTGTCGATTCCCAACTTCTTACAAACTTCTTGGAACACACGAGACTCGAAATTTCGGCCTTGGTCCGAGTGAAGTTGTAAGGGTGGGTACTCCAAATCTGCAGATAAATTCTTCTGTCAACTTCGTTGCAACTGTAGTCGCCTCTTGATCAGGTATTGCATACGCCTCAGTCCACTTGGTTAAGTAATCACCCAAGATGAGAATGTACCTATTTCGTCTTCAGTCATCGGTAAAGGTCCCAACACATCGATAGCAACTCTTTCCATCGGTAAACCCACGTTATACTGCTTCATGTGACTTCTTCGCCTCTTACTGGGAGATTTTCGTCTTGCACAATCATCTTTGTCAGACTCCCATCTACGATACAACACACCGCCTCGCATTACAAGTCGATCCCACTGTGTCCAGTAACTTTTAGTTGCTTGGTCTTCTGTTGAAACTTCATGCCACTGTGGTCGCTTATCTCTTGTTTCTTTCCACTGGATAACTCGTCCAATCACTGGATCATTAAGCTGTGATTTTCTCAAGTCCTCGGCTGTCCAACCATGGCTCACTTCTTGCCATTCCAAGCCTCCTCTTGACTTCTCCGCTGGAACATCACCATCTACATCTTCATCTGATTCCTTGTCTGCGTCTTTATCAATCCCAGACCTCATTGGAGAACACCCCAGTCCACTTTTCAAGATTAAGGCTTCACATCTCCGGCTATCCTCTTGTAGCCCAACATTATCTCCAGACTTGTACCCAGGGCTATTCTTGCCCTCATCATCGTCCCCAGTGGTAATTAACTCGCCATCTTCGGATTTCTTTGCAAGGTCCCTTTTGCCCTCAGTCACATCCCTAGTGGCTTCACCTTTACCATCTCAAGACGTTACACCCAAGTCCCTTGAAATTCTACATCTTTAGCCCTCTTTTGGCCTCGTGCCGTTCTCCAACTTTCCCCCTCGTGGACTCCTCGCATCCTCAACTTTATACTTCTCCTTAGTAGCCTCATAATTCCCAGTGGTTATGACTGCACAGTGCACTTGTTGCGACGCTGCTCCATCGGCCTAATTCTTCAGTGCATTCATTTGTCTCTTCATTTGACTCTTCCTCTCTGTCCGTTCGGCAACTTCTCATGTTGTGGCTGATACATTGTTCTCGACTCGCGTTACGCTAGATGCTGTTACACTGTTGACACTCGTCACATGGTCGGCGAGATAAGCCGTCTGAATTACCGTGCTGCCTCCCTGGTCGGTGCTCTATGTCAAAAGTGTAGGTGCCGAGTACTTCTAGCAATCTGGCTGTCTGTCCCTCCGGATTCTTAAAATTCATCAGCCATCTTAGGGCTCCATGGTCAGTCCGTATCAAAAACGTATTACCATACAGGTAGTGGTGAAAGTGCTTCGTTGCCGCCACTACTGCTACTACTACTACTACTATAGGAGTTCTTTTCTTGTTACGCAGTATCTCCGTTCAGCTTTAGTAAGCGTCCTACTGAAGTATGCTACGAATTTCTCTGCGCCTCCTTGTACTTGTGACAATACTGCGCCAATGCCTGAGTTGCTAGCGTCGGTATCCAAAACAAACTTGTCATCACTCGTTGGATAGGCTAATATCGGAGTTGACGTGAGGGCCGTCTTCAAGTGATTGAATGCCACGTCGCACTCATCAGTCCATCTGCATTGTCGTTTTTTTCTGTCAGTCTGTGCAAAGGCTTGGCAACTTCAACAAATCCTCTCACGAATCGTCTATAGTAGGAACACAGGCCAAGAAAACTTCTAACTTCAGTTACATTCCTCGGTGTCCGCCATTTTCGAACCGCGACTATTTTCGCTGGAACAGGTGACACTTCTTCGGACTCAGCTTCAACCCTGCTGTCTTTAGTCGAACCAGAACTTCTTCTAGTATTTCGAGCGCCTGCTCGAAACTCTGGCCAAACGATACGATGTCATCTAGGTACAACAAACACGTCTGCCATTGTAGACCAGCTAAAACTCGTTCCATCAACCTTTCGAATGTTGCTGGCGCGTTACAAAGTTCAAACGGCATGACTTGGTAGAATCCCCCTCCCGTCCCGCTTAAAAATGCAGTCTTCTCACGATCTGCCTCTTCCACAACGACCTGCCAATACCCACTTTGTAGATCAAGCGTAGAAAACCAAACCGAACCTGACAAAGCCTCAAGTGAATCATCTATTCTCGGAAGTGGAAATGAGTCTTTAATCGTCACTGCATTCAGCTTTCTGTAGTCAACACAGAATCGGGTTGTTCCGTCCTTTTTCTTCACTAGTACTATAGGTGAGGCCCAGGGGCTGCACGACGTTTCGATGACGCCCTTCTTCAACATCTTGTTTAGTGTCAGCTTCTTTCTTCTGATGTATCGGTAATCTTCTTGCTGGTTGCCGTATTGGTTTTGCTCCACCTGTGTCAATATTGTGCTTGTATACCTCGGTTCTTCCAAGATCATCTGGGGATGACGAAAAACATCTTCATGTCATATCAAAAGTGTTGTTAATTTCTGTCGTTGCTCAGGGTTCAAGTGTGTACTGCATCGAGTATACAAATCTTCTAAGTGTTCCGGTACAATGTTTCTAACCTGCTCACTGCTAGTTGCTGTTC